AAATTCTGGAATTTAAATAAAATTCACGTTAGATAAGTTTTCTCGCTTGTGTCTCACGAACAAATTAACCAAATTAAATTTAATGTTTAAGTTGTAGGATAAAACTAGTTTCTATAAAAATCCCCTGCTAAAATTTTTAGCAACGTCTTGGATTTTAAGGAAACGCTAAATATTTGCTCTTATAAAAGCAACAGATCCTTATAAAAAGCATATTATTATTGGATGTCCACTTTTTTAATCAAGTAGTCAAGTGCAAACAAAACCATTATTCAGTTACCAAAATTTTTCAAAAATCTAAATTAATCTCTTAAAATCTAAAAAATAGTAAACCTATACACCAAAAAATTTAGTTCACACCGTCATTTGCAAAAGAAAAGTGGATAATTAAAATACAGAAATATTTTGCTACAATTTTATTTAACATTCCAGTAATCGATTCGGAATCGAACAAATTTTGAGACTTTCTTATCAAGAACAACTAAAAATTATTTTCAGCAGCAGAGAAAAATATACAAAAAAATATAATAAATTAAAGACAATTGTGGTATATATGAGGAAATTTATTTAATCAAAATCAAATTGTAACACTAGTTGATGTGGCATGATAAAAATACAAAATCAAATTGTGTATAGAATTCTCATGATCCCTATTCAACTTCTATGAATAGTTTTCCAAAATTGCTAAGAAGGAGTAAGTTCTTTTTAAGATCTAAAATCACATGCCAAAGTGACTGACACAATAAAAATTATTTGTTACCCTACCATTGTAAATGTTTCAAGAGACACCTGCAGAAGTCTTCCTGCTGTAACAACCATAGGTTTCTTCGAACGCTCCATCAAAAGAATAAGAGCTTTTTTGGACTGAATGTCATATTCGTACCAACGACTCATATAAATGGCATCAGACAAACTCTTGCTCTACAAATAAATATTTTATGCAACCTTTCGATTTTAATTTATTTGCAACCTCTTCGATAAGCAAAGTTCCATGGTAACAGTAGAAGAATACTTGAAAACTTACTACCATTAAATCATTTGCAGCTGTAAGAAAGTTCAGGCCTACCTTCATCTGAAAAAAAAAATAAGTTCGAACCTGATCATTTTTACAATTTCGGTTGAAATAACATACCCTGCTAAGTTGAAAACACACAAATGCCATCACAAAACTGCTCGCTACAAACTGGGTAAATATAACCATTGAAAAACAATCCTGGAATTCTTGTACAAAACTACAAATAAGTTTAATTTTTGTTAAAGAATAAACTACAATAAAGTCCTCTACTTTTGTATAGTTTGGTGATGCCGCACACATTTCTTGATTTCCATGAAAATTCCTCTAGATTTTGCTTCTAGATTTTTAAGCACAGAACGCTGCTGATCAAAATGTTGCAAAATTTCTTTCACGATTCGTATCTGAGTTGTGGCATGGTAACATAGTTCGCCCATTAATGGGTCAATTGAACCACAAAAGAATCCTGAATAGATAGTTGCTGCAAATTAAAATGAATATATTTTGGACACATGTAAATAATCAATCTGATTACATGTTACAATCAAAAACTGGGCACAATAAAAATAGACCGGTTTTTCCAGTACAAACTTTGGTAGCCATATATCTAGTGATAACTGCTCCAAATTCATGAGTGTTTGTCCGATAAATCCAGTCACTGCTGCAGCACAGCCGATAACAAAAATCTTGGAATTTCTTCGGCAAGTATAAATGCATTCTTCGATGATTTTCTGATGGTCGTGTGTTAGAAAATTGTAGTCGAAGTGATCGTAATAATGAATACAGTGTTTAATTTTGTTTCGGTGTATTAAACATGGGAAAAATTTAATCGGGTAAAATATTATACCGATCATCACAAAGTCGTTATTCTTAAATTTGGTAAGATCTGCAGTACACGTAAAATGAAGTAAGCCACAAACTGCCACAGGGACTATTGCCACGATGTATAAAACATAACCATATATTTTGTGCACTGTTTTGTAATTATCTGAAGGATAGACACCAATAATTTTCAACAGTCTTATATTGAGACTAAAACTTAGATCTCCAATTCTTTGCATTTTGAAACAACTACTAAAGAATATTAGAATAATACGCTCCTTTATAGTTACATTTTCTCTATTGCCTTTACATCATTTTATTTTAATTAAAGAGAAACTTTACTTTCGTTGAGTTAATTTTACATCAAAGCAAGATCAAACGGTGGTTATTAAATTATGTATGAAACATTTATCGAAGGCGGATTCAGTGGATTATATTATTTTTTTCATTTGGAATGCAATTGTCTGTGTTGTTACGTGGACGTCGCGGAGTTTACTACATTTGCTCGGCGAAATAAGGTCGTAAAGAAATTAACTCTAAGCGCAGCACTGATTTGTTATAACAAATTTTCTTAATTCATTAATTTAGTAATAAATAAGTGAGTACTATATTGAAGTAAAGAAAAATTATCAATTTTAACCAGGTAAGAAGGAAACCAACTTGTAGTCTGAGAAGTTAAGGAATGTTTTTGGGTATGAAGTACCTCTTATTTAACGTAAGTTTTCACAAAATATTTTGTTTTTATTTTGTCAGGACTAGTTTTAAAATAGTTCGTTTTTACAATTTTTAGCTGAAGCAAATCTTTCAAAGCAAAGTTTCTTATACATGGTATACAGGTATTAATCTTGTTTGTACAAAAATTGAATGCACTTCTTTGTTAAATTAGTGGCCACAAACTATTGAAAAATGGGTATACAAATACAGCAGCTTTTGCCAAATTTTATGGCTTCATATTTGTTCTGTTTTTTTTTAGGACACTTGAGTAGAGATTTTGTAAGTTTCTGGATTTCTCGATGCAACTAGTTTTTTTTATTTTTTAAACCGGCCGATACATATTCTCAGATAATAAGTAGTTTTCATTATTCCTCTATTATTTAAAATTTATTTGAAATCTGTTTTGGAGTTCTGTAGATTTGCAGATCTGAGGATTATGGTATCCTGAAGATTTGAGGATAATGGAGTTCTGAGGATTTTAGGATTTTAGTGTACTAAGAATGTAAGGATTAGGGCGTTCTGAGAATTTGAGGATTATTGTGTCCTGAGGATTTGAAGATTATAGTGTTCTGAAGTTTAGAAGATTATTGTGTTCTAAGGATTTGAGGATTATGGTGTTTTGAAAATCTGGGGTTTATGGTGTATTGAGGATATGAAATTAATGGAGTTCTGAGGATTTTAGGATTTTAGGATTATAGTTAGTTAGAATTTGAATTAATTCGCGTTGAAAAAAAATAACAGTGACGCGAATTGGCATTTGAATAAATTGAATTTAAAAAAAAATCAATCAACAGAATCGTTAAACGTGGGTAACCATGTGTACGTTTAGTTCTGTTCTGGTAGTTAGGGAATTTTAGTGAGAGGGTTGGTAGAAGTTGGCTAGTTTGGTAGATGAGTCATTCTGTTCGGTGGCATCACTTTTTTTGCTGTGTGAGTGTAACCACGTGGTGAGTTAACTGGGTTAAGTTTAGTTGGTTTGGTACTTAATAAAAAGGAGAAAGCCTTTGTTTAACGTAAAGTAATCGTAACGACGACGCCGCCACAGTTTGCCCAACACGCATAGCTAATTTTTGTGGGTTTCGAAGCCGAAATATGTACGTGTTGTAAATTTGTTTTATTTTTGTAAATTCACAGTGGTTTTGCTGGGGTTTGTTTTGTTTCCATCTTCATAAACTTCGTTTTCTCTTGGTTGATCGTTAAACCCATTCGTTTCGCTTCTCTGATTAGATTTTTTGTCATTTTCTTCATTTCTGCTTCTGTTCGCGTTATACATGTCACGTCATCTGCAAAGGCTATATTTTGGTGTCTTTTTTCGTATATCGTGCTCGTTCTGTGGATGCCACTTCTCCTTATTATTGCTTCGAGTACTAGATTGAACAGGGTAGTTGATATTGGATCTCCTTGCCGGAGTCCTGTTCTTACTTGGAATGGTTCTGACAACAGACCATTTATCCTGACTCTGTTTCTGGTGCTCTGTAGGGTCATCTTTGTCAGTTTTATTAGTTTTCTTGGGACTCCCAGTTCTTGCACGGCTTCTAGCAGTTCTTTCCTGTATACCGTGTCATAGGCTTTTTTAAAGTCTATGAACAGCAGATATAAGTTGATTCCCTGTTCGTAATGTACTTCTTGTAGTTGCTTCAATATAAATATCTGGTCTACAGTAGATCTATTTTTCCTAAACCCTGCTTGATATTCTCCTACTATTTTTTCCATATGCTGCTTTAGTCTTCGGTTGATGCAAGTGGCCATTACCTTATACGTTACGTCTATCAGCGCTATTCCGCGATAATTTTCGCATTTCGTAATATCTCCTTTTTTAAATATCGGGCAAAGTACTGCTTCACTCCATTGTTCTGGCATTTTTCCTTCCTTCCAACATTCTAGCACTAGTCGATGTATCTCTGATGCTACTGCTTCTCCTCCGTACTTTAGCATCTCGCCCTTTATTCCGTTTCTCCCAGGACTTTTGTTGTTTTTCATCTGCCTTAGTGTTTCCCTGATCTCTCCTTCGTCAATTTCTATTGTTTCATCCGGGTCCTCCGAGTCATTCACTCTTTCGTTCGTATCTTGCTGTGTATCCTGTTCGTTTAGCAGCTCTTCAAAGTATTCTGCCCATCGTTTTATTCTTCCTTGTTCGTCTCCTATCAGGTTGCCGTTCTTGTCTTTACAATATATTACTCGTGGTTGATAGCCTCTTTTCTCTTTTTTCACGTCCTGGTAGAAGTTCCTTATTTCATTCTTATTGAAGTTTTCTTCTATTTGTCGAATTTGTTCTTCCATTTTTGCTCGTTTCTTATTTCTGCATATCTTCTTGTACTCTTTCCTTTTTTCTTGGTAATCTTTTTGGTTCTTCTCATTTTTTGATTTTAGATATTTCTGTCTGGCTGACCTCCCCGGTTCTATTGCTTTTCTACATTCCTCGTCAAACCATTCGTTTCTATTTTTGTTGTCTTTTTTACCATAGTACTTCTTCCGAGGTCTTCCATATGTTCTCTTGTAGTTCTTCCCACCTCTCTTCTATAGGTATGTCTTGCTCTGTTGATCTTATTCTCTCATTCATCTTTTGTTCGTATTCCTGTTGTACTTCAACTTTCTTAAGTTTGTTTACATTTATATCACTTTGCGTCTTCTTTCCTTCTTTTTTCTTCGGTATTTCTTGTTTGAGGTCTGCTCTTACTAGAAAATGGTCTGAATTCGCTTCTGCTTTCCTGTAGCTTCTTAATCTAGTTATTAGTTGGGCATCTCTCCTTTCTACCAGTATGTGGTCTATTTGGTTGACCGTTTTTCCGTCAGGCGACATCCATGTGCCTTTGTAGATCTCTTTCTGCGCAAAGAAGGTGCTTGTGACTACCATTTTATTTTCTTCTGCAAACTCTATCAGTTTTTCTCCGTTTTGATTCGTTTTTTGGTGTTTACTTTCTTTCCCGATTGTTGGCCTGTAGCAATTTTCTTTGCCTATCATTGCATTGGTGTCTCCTATAACCATTTTTATGTCTTGCTTTGGTATTTTCACATATTCTTTTTCTAGTTCTTCGTAATATTCTGTTTTTACTTCTAGATCTTTCTCTTCAGTCGGTGCATGTAAATTCAGTAGGCTTATTTTCCTGTACCTACTTCTCAGTCTTATATAGCTCATTCTTTCTGAGATTGGTTTGAAGGTAATTACTGCTCCTTTCAGGCTCTTCTTCACCATGAATCCTGTTCCTAGTTCTCTGTTTTCACTTCCGCTATTAAATAATATGTAGTTGTCTATTTCAGTGATGAGTTTGCTTTTTTGTTTCGTCTCTTGTATAGCTGCTACATCTATTTTATACCTTTGTAATTCTTGAACTATTTGTTTGAGTTTTCCTTCGCTATATGTTCCTCGAACATTCCATGTTCCTATTCTAATTTTCGGGTTTTTCTTTCTCTTCGTAATTCCTATCGGGTCATCCTTGAGCTTTGCGTACGTCGTCATTGTTTTCCGATGTGTGGTTTCTTCCTCTGTTAGTTTTTTGGATTTTCTTTGGAGTACGACGGTGCTTTCACTAATTTTTCTGATTTAGTGTCCCAATGCCAGGCTTCTCCTGCCCATATCATCTTTTTGTACCCTACTTTTGCCTCGACTCCTTTCCCTCTTTCTGCTGGTGCTATTCCTCTTATTTTCTTCTGTATCTCGCTCTCTTGTTTGGTGTAATCGTCTTCAATAAACGTTTTTGATCCTTTTAATTTGTTCTTTTCATGATTGCTCTTTTTGGGTCCCAGTTCTCTATCTTTGCTACTACTATGTCGTATTTTTAGCTGACTAATCTTGCGTCTTGTATCTTAGTTTGGATTCCTACCTTATTTTTTAGGAGTTCTTCAACCTCTGCTGTTATTTCGCTACCTTGTAGTTTCCCTCCTTTGATTACGATGTTGTTTCTCCTTTCTGCTTTTTCCAGTTTTTCTAAGTGTTGCTCCACTCTTTCTAATCTTTCGGTCAGTCTTTGGTTTTCTTCTCTTAGTGTTGTTACTTCTGTTTGGTATGCTCTTTGGTCTCTTTTCATTTCTGCGATTTCCTCCATTAACGTTTTGAACGTATTCTTTACTTCGTCCATGTCTCCTGCTTGTTCCCTCTTCTGCTTCCTTTGTACTCTTTCACCTTCCGGTGATGGTGAAAAGGAAGTTTCTCTTTTTCGTTTCTGGTTATCTTGTTCTTCTATTGCTAGTTTGTGCCCTTTTTCCGGCTCTGGATTCCCGTTTAGCATTCCCTGGCCGACTTTCTTGCTTCCTGTGTATCTAGTACGCTCTTGTGTTGTTTACTTCGTGCCGCGATAAGAATTGTCACCCAGACTATCTCTTCGGAGGTTATGTTCTTTTGATTCCACACTTTCTCGAATAATTGCTGTCTTTACACTTCTTGGTGCTTCTTACTCTTATTCCACTTCACTTCTTTGTTTTCTGCTACTTCTCTTTCGCTTTTGACGCTCGATATCTCTCGATTTTCGAGTTTGGATTTCGGAACGTGTTCTGCTTATCGTAGTCAGGACCGTACTCCGTGTGTTACATTATAACACTTCTTAATTATTCACACAAGATTGCTAATAGTTCATTTACGGCAGTTAAATCAATCTAACGTTGCCCCACTCTGGTAAAAGACCGTGAAAGTGCGCTAGAATTCATATTATCGTGGACTGAGGTACAGGGCATTATAAGTTTTTTCCCTTAGGCAGTTATCATCGATATATCATCATCACTCACCCAGATATTTTTCTCGTAACGTGAAAAATTACATCACCGAGGAACTTTCCTCGGAACGCCGTGTACATTTTGTTTTATTTATTTATCATGTGTTGTTAATTGTTTTAAGTAACCACGCACTTGTACAAGGCAAAATTTAACACAATGTAAATTCTTTGTTTGAATCGTTGATAAAGTGTGGCATAATTTAACATTAGGTAAATTCTTTGTTCTATCAGCGGCCATATTGAGAATCTATTTTCAAACCTGGCACATGTTTGAAGTGGAAAATCTTATTTAACGAATTAACAACATTGTGGGTCATGTGAAACGAGCATTTTATTCCTTTCAGTTAGACCATTATTTGCACATCACCACAGGATTGACCACATTTCTGGGAGACATATTTTTGACGCAGTTTTTTTAACGACGTATTGCCTGCCATGTTTTTTATGCGTTTGTTTGGGGGAATGTAAAACGTTGGCTTAAAATGCAGCCGAATAACTTCACTTTTAAAAATTAACCAATAACTCGAATGGACATAAAATATTAACCTCACGTAATTTTGTTGGCTTTGCAATTTTTCACCTCATCCCATTTTTCTCTATATCACAATTTTAGCTTCAGTAATTTTATTTGTTGTATAATGTAAATTGAACGGAAATTTTCATGTTTTGCAGTTGCTAACCTCATGTAATTTTTTGTCTGCACAGGTTTTATTTGCTAGTTTTTGTTTAGTAAATATTTTGTTGAATAATGTTTCCACCATAAAATTGTCTGCTGTTCAATCGTAATCTCAAATAAGAATTCTTTGCCGCTTCAAATTTTACAAGAGTCTATGGCGAATTTAAATGTTGTTTATGCTTTTTGAAAGCTTAACACTTGTTTAGTTGTAGTTTAATGTCAGAGTTATAGAAATTGAAAATCAAAATGGAACTGAGGTTAAATAACACAGAAACACGTAGCGGAAGCAGAGTGCGCGGTTCCTTGTCGAGCCGGTGGCCGCGCCATTTCGAGAAAAGATGCAGGTCTTGAATAAAACTCAGGGACGATCGGGACGACGTGATGCTGTCGGCTTATTTATAGCCGTGATTTCAAACCACGAGTTTGGGAACGTAACGGTCTGGGTAGCGCAGCATATATTTTTTTTATTAAAATTTTGTTCTCTTGTTTTTCCATCTACATGATATTCCTAATAAACGTATAAAATTTGATTGGGCGGTCATTCTATCAATCAAAACTGACACACGCTACAGACCACTTTTTTCGTATTCTAGGTGTCTTCAAACGTCGACACAAGATAAAAGTGGAAAGTCGCCCAATGAACTCGATTACTATACTTTCTTAATTTGCCTCAGAAAGTCATTCATATGTGTATGTGTAATATCCATCTGGTCGAGTGATTTCCTGCAGCCGCTCTCCACATGTCCTATTTCCACACAATTGTTTTGTCTATGAGTTTGTTTACATATACTGTTTGACCGCGATGTATCAAGTCACGGATAAACACATGAATGGATATGAATTTATTTTGGAGATTCTTCCCGAAATTTTTTTCTGTATTCGTTGATGATACGAGTATATTGTGCAGTGATTGATGTATTATGCTAATAACAATAGAAAACCATTAATTATTGTAAAACACTCGGATAAGTACAGTGATAAATAATAGCAGTATCAATTGCATTCTCGCATTGTGAAGAAAATCCGGGGCCTTTTTGTTTTGATAGGAAAAAAAAATTGCAAAGCTGTAAGATTCGTACTCAGGACTTCCACTGGTAAAGCAAGTATTAACACCAATAATGTTTAGTTTACGGAGTCGCGTATAATGTTACAAAAGAGGAGGAAACTTAAATAAATAAATTGACTGATTCATTCATTTTACAATATGATTACAATAATTCCGAAACGTCTGCAAGATTGCAAAGTATTCAGTTTTGCAAGTCTTGATTTAATCAATAAAACAAATTGACCCAATTATTAATTTTTTTGAAACACCCCATCTAAGAAAATCTAAAAAATATTAACACTATGTTCTAAGAAGAACTTTATTTCATCAAAATCAAATTGTAACACTAAGATGTGGGATGACAAAAATTCCAAATTAGATTGTGTATAGAATTCTGGTCGTCGGTATTCAACTTCTACGAATAGTTTTCCAAAACCGCTAAGAAAGAATAAGTTCTTTTTAAGATCTGAAATGAAAAGATAAAGGGACAGTAAAAAATTATTTGTTGTCTTACCACTGTAAATGTTTCAAGAGACAACTGCAGAAGCTTTCCTGCTGTAACAATCATAGGTTTCTTCGAACGCTCCATAAAAAGAATAAGAGCTTTTTTGGAGTGAACATCATATTCGTACCAACGACTCATATAAATGGCATCAGACAAACTCTTACTCTACAAATAAATATTTTATACCATATTTAGACTTTAATTTCTATATTTACAACCTCTTCGATAAGCAAAGTTCCATAGTAACAGTAGAACAATATTTGAAAACCTATCGTAATTAAATCATTGGCAGCTGTAAGAAAATTAAGGCCTACCTTCATCTGAAACAAAAAATAAGTTCGAACATGATTTTACAACAGTGGTTGACAATGTAGAAATAACATACCCTACTAAGTTGAAAACACAGAAATCCCATCACAAGAGTGCTCGCTATAAACTGGGTGAACATAACGGCTGAAAAACAATCCTGGAATTCTTGTACAAAACTAAAAATAAGTTAATTTTTACTAAAAATAAACTAAAATAAAGTCCACTACTTTTGTATAGTTTGGTGATGACGAATACTTTTCTTGATTTCATTGAAAATTTCTTTTGCTTCTTTATCTTTAAGCACAGAACGCGGCTGATCAAGATGTTGCAAAATTTCTTTCACGATTCGTATTTGAGTTGTGGCATGGTAACATAATCCACCCATTAATGGGTCAATTGTACCACAAAACAATCCTGAATAGGTAGTGGCTGAAACGTTAAATGAACACAGTTCGGACACAACATAAATAATGAATTTGAGTACCTGTTACAATCAAAAACTGTGCAGAATAAAAATAGAGCGGTTTTTCTTGTACAACCTTTGGTAGCCATATATCTAGTGATAACTGCTCCAGATTCACGAGTGTTTGTCCAATAAATCCAATTACTGCAGCAACACAACCGATAAAAAAGATCTTGGAATTTCTTCGGCAAGTAGAAATGCATTCTTCGATAATTTTCTGATGGTCCAGTGTTTCAAAATTGTAGTCGAAATGATCGTAATAGTGAATGCAGTGTTTCATTTTGTTTCGTTTGATCAAACATGGTAAAAATTTGATCGTGTAAAATATTATGCCGATCATCACGAAGTCGTTATTCTTGAAGTTGGTAAGATCTGCAGTACACGTAAAATGAAGTAACCCGCAAATTGCCACAGGGATCATTGCCACGATGTATATAACATAAGCGTATACTTTGTGTACGGTTTTATAATTATCTAAAGGATAAATGCCAATAATTTTCAATACACTTATATTAAGACTGAAACTGAGATCTGCAACCCTTTCCATTTTTAAACGGTAACTGAGGAATATTACAATAATAAGCTCCTTTATAATTACATTTTCTTTATTGCGTTTACTTCATTTTATTTTAATTAAAGAGAGGTTTTACTTCCGTTGAGTTAATTTTACATCAAAGTAACTAAGATCAAACGGTGGTTATTAAATTATGTATGAAACATTTATCGAAGGCGGATTCAGTGGATAATAATTTT